TTTTCTGTGTGCACATATTGTCCATACATTATCCTTCCTTATGAGTGAAAGAGTCTTGGACCAAAAGAAGTTGTTTAAATACCATTAAATAAACAAAATTACATCAGGTAGCGACTACATCACATTGAAAATGTTGGCTCCCATCTGAGATTTCAACTGCCGCTTTTATAATGGGTGATGTTTTTGCTAGTATCTTTTTGGCAACACTGTTTTTGACGGATGACGCGTGAATCGTGTCTTGTGTCATTGTCAAACTTGTTCAGTTTGGTCTATAATTTAACCATGAATCGACTTACGAACGAACAATGCTTGCAAATTATTGAGTTTTACTATCAAAATTCATGCTCGGTTAACAGAGTGCATCGAGCACTGCTTCCAATTTATGGGCAACTTGGTCGGCCTACTGAGGGAGCTACTCGGACGCTTGTGACTAAATTTCGAACCCAGTTTACATTATTGGACATTAAACCACCAACACGCAGACGTAGAGTGAGGACTGAAGAAAATATTGCGGCTGTATCCGCCAGTGTTAGTGATGACCGTGAAATGTCGATTCGCCGCCGTTCGCAGCAATTGGGCCTCTGTTACTCCACTATGTGGAAAATTTTGCGACAGGATTTGGGTGTAAAACCTTATAAGATACAGCTGGTGCCAGAATTGAAGCCACACGACCTCCCACAACGTTTCCAATTTGGTGAAAGGGCTCTGGCAAAGTTGGAGGAAGATCCACATTTATCGAAAAATTGTGTGCGACGAAGCTCATTTCTGGTTGAATTCGTACGTTAACAAGCAAAATTGCCGCATCTGGAGTGAAGACCAGCCAGAAGCATTGCAAGAGCTACCAATGCATCCGGAAAAAATCACTGTTTCAACAAGACGGTGCCACATGGTTTTTTTTTGAAAATCAAATCCTATACCTCTTAAAAAATCACCCGTTACATATACGTATACATAGCCGTTTACATTTTGGAAAGGATTATTCTAAAAATATTTTCGATCAACTAAATTTGTTAATCAAAGAAGCAAATATTCCGTATTTGATTAGCACAGATTTTTAAGAAGTGTTATTAATGGTAGATAGACAATGAACTATAATGATATCTGAGTTCATCTGCAATTACGAATAAATCATCGCGCCATATCTTTACGCAAGTGCATCTTGACAGCTATTATAGCCAAAACAAATGATAACAGGAACGAATAAAAAGACGTTGAATTAAACTGTGACAAATGACGAAGCGAGGTTCGGAATTATCGTTTTCGAAGAATACAAATGTACGTTAGTTGCAACAGTCCATATCGCAGTTTTCTAGAATATTTTTTGTAAGCTTAATTTCAGTCAGTCAGATTTCTGAGCACCATTAACTACAGGTTAGATCTTCGTTTCCTCAGGTTACACCCGTATCCGGATGTGTGGGCATGTGTATCTACTTTTGTAGTTTCATATGTGCAATCATTTGGGGCCTGATGAAGCCAACCAGCAGAAATACGTGTCGCTCGGGTTACCTATCCTATCTTCTGCTCGAATCTACTTTCCTCTTTTTTGCGGATTTTGCCCATTATTTTTCTACTTTTTGTTATATATATATAATAAACTGCTGTCTTACTTCGTGTGTATTTCCGGATATGTGGAAAATTTCTGAATTGATACCTATACCTAAAATATCTAATCCGAATCAATTATCTGACTCAAGACCAATCACCAATATTATCAAAAGTCCTAGAAAAGATAATGGAACAGCAAATTTCGGAATATGTTACAAATAAATCTATTTTACCCCAGATTCAATCCGGCTTCCGAAAAACTTATGATACTGCCACAGCTTTAGTTTGCATAGTGGATGATTTAATGTTATCAGTCGACAACAGCAACATTGTTTGTTTAGTGTTACTTGATGACACCAAGGCTTTCGATACCATTGACCATGATATACTTTGCACTAAATTAAAATACTTTGGCTTCAGCTGTCCCGCTGTGCAACTTGTAAAAAGTTATTTGATAGAAAGATATGTAAGATATGTATCAATTTATTTGAACTATTCCTATAAATCCCCGATGACAATGGGAGCACCTGGAGGGTCCATTCTGAGTCATTTATTATTCTCTCTTTATATTTCAGACTTTTCTAACAATATAAAATACCGCAATGTTCATCACTCCGCAGACGACACACAACTATATTATGGTTTTCATCTCAATTATGCATCTTTTTCCTTTGATTTGATGAACAATGATCTACATGCCATGTATCACATTTTGGCTGCTCATAATTTAACGCTAAATGCTTCTAAATCAAAAGTTATGATATTTCCAAAGCAGAAGCGAATTATAATAGAAAATGAAAATCTATATCAGCTCAACATCAACAATATTCCTTTACCAGTTGTATCTGTAAGCAAAAATCTAGGTTTATGGTTGGATAATGAACTAAAATTTGACCATCATATAAAGAAGTTATGTTCAAGATCTTATGGTATCCTCAAGCAATTATATCCTCAAAGACATTTACTAAATAATAAATTAAAATTACACCTCTGTGATTCACTAATCATTTCAAGGATATCTTCAAAGTGATAAGACCAAGCTGCACCGACTCCAAAATTCTTGTTTTCATTATTGCCTTGACATTAGAAAATACGACCATTTCAGTCATGTTTATAAGGAAAACAGAAAATTAAATTTAGAAAATCTTAGAATCTATCATTCACCATCTTTAGTCCATAAGACGTTAATGAATAAGAAACCAGAGTGCCAAGCTACAAAAATTTGAAGATGTTAACAACTTAGCAACAAGAAATAGTCAATCCCTAATTATACCCCACCACTCACCATCGTTATACAAGAAAAGTTTTTCATACATTGCGGCCAAACACTACAACAAACTACCAACTGAGTACATCTAATAAATTTTAAGAAAAAATTAAGAGCAATGCTTCTACCCACCTCCTCTACCTGACGATAATGAGATCAATTTTAAAAATTCAACAAGAATAAAACTGACTGCATGATTTTTCGAGTCATATGATATGAATATCATGATCTTATATTAGATGACTTAAAATTTAAACATGTATACTTATATAGACTCAAACATTTTTAGGCAATTATCACAAATATGGTATTCATTATTTCGATGAATTTTTGCCAAAGTAACGTAAGTGACATTTTTGGTGAAAATCATGTTTTTCCATTAACATAAGGCTTTTATTGTTGAGAAGGTACTGCCAAGGTGTAAGAAGCCTAGATTTTACTTTAAACCCTTGTTTTTAACTTTTTTTGAAAACGTATGACCAGAATGCAAGCTAAGGTTTTTTACCGCCATAATAACGTAAGTCCCTGTCGGTTTCTGCGACTTACGTCAGATTTTCGCAGTCAGTGTTTGGCTTACGACAGTCTTAGGTTCGTGCTACCATCGACTAATTATTGATTTTAGGTAAGTAAACGACATTTTTTTATAGTTAGAATTCAAAAATATTACAATCTTAACTCATATTAGTAGGTACATACCTATAAAATTCCATTTCATATTTAATTTCGTTCATTTATTACAAATGATTGTGTGATAACCTCAAGGTCTGTGAGAAATTTGCAGGAATGAATCGGTTGAAGTTAAAAAAACGTTTTTTGTAGTTAGAATTTAAAAATATTAAAACCTTAACTAATATTATGTTCCTACCTATAAAACTCCCATTTCATATTTAATTTCGTTTATTTATTAGAAGTTATCCTGTCATAACCTCGAAGCCTGTGAAAAATTTACAGGAATGAATCGGTTGAAGTTAGAGAAAGACTGTTGTAGTTGTTTCTATTCTAATTTTTATAGAAGCTAGGAAACATTGTAAACATAAATCTCGGTTACTTTCGGATTATGTATATGGTCAGTTCACGAACAAAAAGGATTTTGGCGGTTCTTAGCCAAAATGATGAATCGAATAATGTTTATTTTGAGGAAGAAATCGGGTCTATGCCGATATCCATTATTTCAAGTGACAATATTTTTGATCTAGATAATTCCGAAAATATTTTAAAAACTACTTTAGTAAATGAAGACGTAATCGAAATAAATCAATCAATTTTATTGTCTTCTAACAATTCGAGTCCTTATGAAAATGTTGGTAACCATACTATGCAAGAAGAAATAAATGTACCAATAAGTACTGATAGCTCAAATGGGACGGTGGGTGTTCAGTTTGAACAGGAATGGGATGTACAAGAATATTTTCTGCCGTTAGTTAATTACATGTCATACCACCAGGTTTCACGATGAATTCTTTAAATTAAAATGTAAGTCTTCTCTTCCAGATGAGTTAGTAGAAACTGATGCGATGAAGGTGAAAGCTCCAAAACTTAAAAAAATATATATTTTTTACTAGTGAGAATTTCATATTTTCTTTTGTAACGTTATTTTGTCTTTGTTTTTAATAATAAACGATAGTTTTTGATTCTTTCCAAAATACTTTAAGTGCTACAATGTACCGCCAAACTGACGTATCTGTGTAATTACGTTATATTTTTGATCAAGACTTCGAAATTTCTGAACCCGTAAAGTAACGTAAGTATCAATTAACCACTAAAACTATAGAAAAACTTCAAAAATCATTTTTCTTAATTAAATATAGACCTCAGAGAAACACCCTGGTAAATTTTGCACAATTTAGAAAAGTTTAACCAGGTTAAATTAAAAACACGTTCTTTCTCCGAAATCGTTTTTGGTGACTTACGTTACTTTGGCAAATACGTATCGATTTTACGACACTTTTCTTATTAATGTTTGTAATTTTATTTTATGGCTGAGTTGAAAAATACCTTAAGGTAACACTCCGCCATTTCGATCCTTTAATTTCAAATTTTTGGTACCTTACCCACAATATGTATTTGTGAAAGAATCGAATAAAGGCATGTTATTATTATTATATAAATTTTAGTTGAAACTTACCTTTAGCATTATGTATAAGAATCTGAAGAACCAAAACGAAGCAGCTCCTCCAGCTTGGATCTCTTAGCCACCCCATATCTTCTTCAGTGCAACCAACCTCATGAACATGGTCCTCACGAAACAATAATTTTGCGATTTCCGTCCATAATTATACAGAAAGTCTTGAAGTCTTTTCGCCAGCTGGCAAGGGTAATCACACTCATTCCCGGCATGCAACAGTCCACAGTGCTTGTTTCCTTACAATTATAATATCGTAAAGTTCAACTTCAGGGGCGTACTCAGCGAAAATTCACGAGTGAGTATCGGCATTGATTAACGTATTCTACCTAAAGATAGAGAATCAAATGAACTAAAAAACCATCTATGATAAAATGAGATACCGTAGAGTCATCTATGAGAATTCGTCACAGCTATCTTTCTCCTCGACGAAATAACTAGAACATACTTTGAAGAAGTCAGTGTCTCGTAGATGGTGCTGTAGCGATTGACAAATCCTTAATCGAACAAAAGATTTTGAATATCGGAATTAAGAGTTTCTTGATAGAGTCTCTTATTTCATTTGCTGCTCTACAGAATACACCGTGGATATGGGAGCTGCACAAGGTTCGATTCTGGCACCATTAATATTCAATATACACATTAACGATCTAATGCTATCTGGCTTTATGATCAATTATGCCGACGACACTTCGGTAGTTGTAAGTTCTCCATCCAGGATTGATAAAGTAGGCCAGGAGATGAGTGAATGGAGCCAGAGCAATCGTCATATATTAAATAAAAGAATGAAGATTTATAATTATGCATTTTTATAAGCCGCGCTTGCGGGATGATATCTATTCAGATGTAACTACTTTTCTTGGTATGCATGTGAACAGAAAACTAAGATGGCGGAAACATATAAATCATGTCTGTAAGAAAACTAACAAATCATACTTCGCAGTACTCAAAATGAAACAAACTGTTACAATATCTACACTTATAAGTACGTACTACGCGTTAATTTATACTCACATCTGCAACACTATAGCTGTGTGGGACCAGGCAGGGTTTGTAAAGAGAGTATCTTGTACTGCAGAAAAGGGTTATTAGGTTGATTTTTAATATTCGCCAAAGATACGCTTTAAGAAAACCTTTGTCCAATACAATCTGCTCACAGTAACAGCCCTATACATATGCAAATGAGCTATCTTCGCATACTGTCATAGAAATGCATTCACAAATAATGCAATCAACATATGTTACAACACAAAAAGTGGTTATGATTTACTTGTTGTTGCACATAACTAAAACTACCAACATCAACCTTGTCGATGTCAATTTAGTTGACAAGTGCCTTTACACGCTAGCTGAGTATTTTTTATCCTAAAATTACATACCAATTTATTTTATGTGATGTTTGGTGAACCATGGCTTATCATGTATCGTAAATGTGACAGTTTAAGCATGTCGATTTTATAAACTTCATGCTTGTCTATTTATATAAATATTTAATACTTTATTCAAAGTCTGTTAATGTTCTTACTAATGTAGTAGCAGAAAATAACTTCTGCCTTTTTTATACTTTGAATCGTAACATTGTCTCCTTTAATATGCTTTAGTCAAATTGTACAAGTCATTTTCATTTTTCTAAACGACAAATAAGCAAGGGTACGTTTTCCTATGCTTAGTGAAGCGTACCTCCATGTATATATCAGCCATGACCTATCCTACATGATTTTTTGAATGATCCAAAGATCAATAAATTATGTATTCATATCTCATGTATAGCTGGCAACAGCGCCATCTATGAGACACTACCCTTTTCATAGTAGATTCTTAATTATTGCGGAGAGGAGAAAGATAGTTGTGAAAAATCCTCATAGTTGACGCTACGGTATCTCGTTTCATCTCGGATGTTCAAATATAGAGTATTTCAACTTTTCAACCCCAAATAAATAGTAAGCCATAAAACTAACAAAGCCAAAAATCAGTATCATCAGCTCATATAAGTCAAGCAACAAAAGTGGATCGTTATAATGAAGTTTCTGCGCCCTTTCCAAATATGTAAGGGATATTCTAAAATTCCAAAATTCAAAAAGCTGCGTGCACGGTTTTGTCAAATTTTAACTAGTGGGGTTTAGTGTTTTCGTAGTCGATTTGATAGCATGAGCTGAGTACGCGTACTAAGTTTCAGAAAAATATAGCGGGTAGTCAAAAAGTTGTGAGACCATAATGGGCAAAACTGATAAAACTCCATTTATCTTGGTAAGGCTAAAGAATCATCAACCATGGGTTATGTATAATCACTATCGTGGCGGCGTCTCTTTCACGGTTAAATTGTTTCACTCTCTCAACGAAATACCTTGGGCATAATAACCTCATCCAATCAACTTCATTTTCGTTATCGATCCGCTACTTTTTGATAACTCTGCGATATTAAAGACTGGAGCTTATCACTGCTGCCAACCTGGCACCACATAGTTGTTAAGCTATTATTCATGATCAATTGAAATGATAGTCTAACATACTTTTCACGATGTGAGGAAGGCCAATACCTTTGAGGTTCGGTTATATTTTCAGTTAGTTCGCTCAATTATGCCTTCTCGTATCACTGGAAGCTTTAAACAAAGCCTTTCAAAATGAAATCCATGATCATTTTAAAGATTAACTGAAGGCACAGTAGACATGTGTTGACAAACCACCTTACACTCTAACCAAGAAAGGCTAAAATACGTCCTTCAAAACTAAGAATGTTAGTTAGCAGACTCAAATGTTCCTTCTGATACCGTTTCCTTTTCCAAGCTAAGGGTTCAAGTATTCCAACAACAGAATTTTATGAAATCGTGGTCCATAACGTACTTAGGAATAAACTGAACATGTTAACAATTTTTAAGTAGTTAGAAAGGCGAAAACATAGTTTTAAAGTCAGCAAATTAATTCGCATCTTCTCCAATCTCATACCAATTTGACTTTACTTATCGCTGATTTGTTATCTGAGCAAGCTTTAAATCTGAAGTGTACCTTCTTGCACTTTCACTTTTTCGGAGCAAAACATTAAAGGTGTATTCCCGACTATGACAACACAAGTTGAAAAAACAGCTATCCAGAAACACATTAAGAATGAACGAAACACATTGTTGACATTTGTTAACGTTGTTATAGCTGGCAAAATAAGAGCTTCGCGTTGATAAGCTAAACTCTACCTCTTAGTACCAGGGTCTCCAACAAAACATTCAAAAAGGAAACAGACACTCTAACAACACTGATCTTCAAAACTAGTATCCAACGTCAACTCAAAAATGAACTAGGCTTATTGTTGACATACGGTAACGTGTTCGGAACCCGCGGCGAAATCCTCGCCGGTCTTGGCTCGAGCACAGCTTTCACAGCCTGCTTACCACGATTGGCCCGTGAAGACTAAACAGACAACTGTCATGCAACACCCTGCCTGCACGGAATCGCGCCGCGTTGCCGAGATTCGCTTTGGAACTTTGAGCTTTTAGATTTATCTGGTTGGCGGCAACTCGTTGAATCACCGGAAAATTCCTATCTACAACGAAACATTATTTTTGTTTGTGAAAGATGATTCAGGATTAGTGAAAACGGGTGTTCTCTACGCAGGCGTATTGGAAAATCGGGAGCTTCCCTCCGAGAAAATCAGATGAGAAAGCATTACTACATCTCGCTGGCACTTGTCATAGTTTTAGCACTAAATTGTACGTTTGAGGTCAAGGTTTTCCGCGTTATTAATAGAACATTAGTAAAAGTTTTGTACAAGGCCCATTCGCCTGATGGAAGAAGCGCTGACAGAAAATAGTTTGATATTGAGTAAAGTATTTGAACTTGGCTCGCTATTTCTGATATGCGACAGCTAACGTCATTGAGGATATGTTTGCTACGGCGATTTGGCAAATCGAACCATTGCCAAGCTCACTGTCACTTAGTGTCGTCAGAAGATAATCGAATAGCGGAAGTGGGGTGTCCAGAAAAAACCTTTTTAGGGAGCTCAGACTTCACAAAGGTATGTCATCATTAAGAAAGTTATTGGTAGTTTTCAAGTAATAGCAATCAGAATCCACAAATGTGTCTCAAAGGTTCGTGAAAAATTCTAGTTAAGCTCCGATCATGTTGCTTTCGACTTTATGGCTTTCAGATCTTAAGCTGTTTGATACGATTGCGATTCAACGAGTTTCACGTTCACTCTTTCTGGGTGAAATTCAAATACTATTTTAAAATGCTGAGGGGTGATCTGAAATCTTATTGTTTAAAACCGCCAGCGAGTCCTGCTCTCTGGCGGCGTCATTCTGCTTCACAGCAACGCTCGGCCTCACGTTTCGGAAGAAGACGGTCGCAAGTTTGTTAAGAATTACTGGGCTATCCACCATGCGGCCCTCACTTGGCACCATGGAACTTCCATTGTTTTCCAAAACTCAAAGAAAATGATGACATGATGAAAAAAAACAGTTCCTAACTGGTTTAACGACTGGATGCAAAGGCTGGTGCCACGATTCCACAAATGTTTAAATTTGTATGGTGACTATGTTGTAAAATGACAAAATGTTTGAGATACGATTTACGTTCATAAATGAAGCTTCACTGCCTCCATAACAAAACATTTAAGTGTAAATGGATTATTATGCAGCACAGTTCGACAAAATATTACCTGGGGTGCGTTCGTAAATTGTCACAGTGTACTTTGTACTACTCTGTGAAAATTTTTGCGTTTTCAATTGCTTGACGTACCTATTTCTTGAGTTCGAAAACAGAATAAAGTAATCCTTCTGGGACGTCAAAAGCGCGAGCTCAAATAAAGGGTATTGTCATTTTTCATTCTCATGGCTCACTGTTTATTTAATTTATTTGGTCATCAAAAAGTGCTCAAAGTGGCAGAATATATAATGGGTGATTTTTTTGATAGTATCTTTTTGGCAACACTGTTTTTGACAGATGACGCGTGAATCGTGTCTTGTGTCATTGTCAAACTTGTTCAGTTTGGTCTATAATTTAACCATGAATCGACTTACAAACGAATAACGCTTGCAAATTATTGAATTTTACTATCAAAATTCATCATTCGGTTAAGAGAGTGCATCGAGTACTGCTTCCAATTTTTGGGCAATTTGGTCGCCGTACTGAGGGAGCTATTCGGAAGCTTGTGACTAAATTTCGAACCCAGTTTACATTATTGGACATTAAACCACCAACACGCAGTCGTAGAGTGAGGACTGAAGAAAATATTGCGGCTGTATCCGCCAGTGTTAGTGATGACCGTGAAATGTCGATTCGCCGCCGTTCGCAGCAATTCGGCCTCTGTTACTCCACTACGTGGAAAATTTTGCGACAGGATTTGTGTGTAAAACCTTATAAGATACAGCTGGTGCAAGAATTGAAGCCACACGACCTCCCACAAAGTTTCTAATTTGGTGAATGGGCGCTGGCAAAGTTGGAGGAAGATCCACATCTTTATCGAAAAATTGTGTTCAGCGACGAAGCTCATTTCTGGTCGAATGGGTACGTTAACAAGCAAAATTGCCGCATCTGGAGTGAAGATCAGCCAGAAGCATTGCAAGAGCTACCAAAAAAATTACTGTTTGGTGTGGATTATGGGCCGGTGGCATCATAGGGCCGTACTTCTTCAAACACGACAATGGCCGGAACATAACTGTGAATGGCGAGCGCTACCGTGCGATGATGACAAACTTTTTATTGCCCAAAATGGAAGAGTTGGACTTGGCTGAGATGTGGTTTCAACAAGACGGTGCCACATGCCACACCGCACACGAAACAATGGCCCTATTGAGAGGCGAGTTCGGTGAACAGTTTATCTCACGTTTGGGGCCCGTCAATTGGCCGCCTAGATCGTGTGATTTAACGCCGTTGGACTATTTCTTGTGGGGCCATGTTAAGGCTAATGTCCACAGGGATAAACCAGCAACGATTGACGTACTGGAAGCCAATATTGAAGCATTTTTTCGTGAGATACCGGCCGATATGTTGGAGAGAGTGTGCCAAAATTGGACCTTGCGCATGGGCCATCTAAAGCGGAGCCGCGGCCAACATTTACATGAAATAATCTTTAAACATTAAATTATATCGACCGTTCTATCGACTGAAATAAAGATTTAATCGTTTTTTCAAATTGTTTGTGTTTTTTTGAAAATCAAATCCTATACCTCTTAAAAAATCACCCGTTACTTTTCACGTTAATAAATAGGCTGCCTCGTATCCATAGCGTTTCTTGTGATAAATACTATCGTTGAAGAATACGTTGTTAGAAATGTGTCAGCTGTCAGCAATTGTCATTGCATCACTCTGAAATAATTTAGGTGTTCTAAAAATAATGTTTCACGGTATTCATCTGTCAACCTATATTCCATGACTGTGTGTGATATTACATTACCAATAGATTTACAAACGCACCCTTGTAACTAAAGTACACTCTAGTCATCGATCGCTCGTGAAAATGATGAGATCCCTGTAAGTATCCCGCTACGTGGCAACAGGGCCTCCCTCATTTCGGCGGCTTCCCACCACATTCTCTCTCGAAGTCCCGAAAGCTGCTGCGCCGTGCTGAAATCGCGCGAGCTTTCAGCGTTCGTACCGAAGTCCGACCGGCGAGCTTCCGAGTTTTCGCTGCATGCGAAAGCCCGGCAAAGATCAAACATCAAGCGCTTTGCTATTTTGTACGTGCTCGTATGATAGTGGCCTGTAAGGTATCTCCGCTTGCCCGGGAGATGCCCAGAAGCTATTGTAGCATATTTAATAGACGATTGTAGACTTGGAGGTTGCAATGTGATGTGGAATTGAATAAATGTTCAAGATAGTCCAAGTATGAGGCATACAATGTGAAGGGGTTATCTCAATATGGTACATTTATACTTTCCCAGCATTGGTAAATCTATGCATCTGTTAGGGTGGGTTTCACCAGGATTGTCAAATCAACAGTCCGTTATTCTCCACCTGCAGGGTAACAGTCCTTCAAATGCAGCGAATGAGCTTCAAGTTCCAATCAACAAATTTTAGCAACCAATAGCTATGAAATGTTGAAAAGAAAATACTGTCAAAGTATGAGATGACAATTTGTCATTGAAACATCACCAGCTTATTGAGTATTAAGAAATTACATATAGCTTAGTCAAAATTTAAAAAAGTGGTCGATTTTTGAATAAAATTCATGTTTTCTTCAATTGATATGCGATTTTACTTATTCAACATAACCTACCGTGTGTTTGTTCCTATAAACCTCTTGCAGATAACCAATAACACCTACTTGATGACAGGCTCTACCAAAAATTTCACAGATATTGCTCGTTTCCAAGCATTCATTCATTTACTTGCCGTTCCTCAGTACCATTATAGCACCGTCGATTGATATTCCCACAAAACCATTCAGTATTTTTGAAATGCATACATCCATAGTCAAACATTTTTTGGTTGTTCAGAAACTGAACAAACATCCACACTATATTTGCAGCGATTAAGAAATACTCAAATATATGTCGTAAAGCTACCGGCAAACTTGAAACCAGCAAGAAAATACAATTTGCAATAACTTTCTTGTTTCACTGAGAACACATTCTACAGTATATTCAGATAAGAGATAGACCGGATGTAAACAAAAGGTTCGGGTGATTTTCACGCTAACGCCGCCGCCTCGACGTAAAACAGGAGCCCTCATTGGTCAATTCGCAATTAAATGCCTATGCCGAGCGGCAGAGCAGTCGTATCAAGGCAGAGTCACATTCAGGTTCAGACGTGTTACGTATGTCGTGTGCATCATTGCAATTTGATATTTCTTTGGACGTTTTCGTTTGTTATCTTATTAAGTTGTTGAGTTTGTCGTTGTTATTGTTATACCTTGTTATTGATTGTTATTGTTATCAACTGCTTGCGCAAAATGCCCAGTAGTACAGATACTGCCGATGAAGTTGTAAACTCCTGTAGTCCACCTAGGAAACGCTCTAAAAAAAGACAGCTGAGTGCAGAAATGAAAGAGGTCAGAATATATATATAAGATCGAGCGCGAGGCGAACGAGGCATCAACCATCAAAGAAATTGTTGTGAAGGTTTCTCACAAAGTTGGGGTGTGTCGCGCATCAGTGTTTAATGTGTTAAGACAATACAAAAAAAAAACACACCTTTTCTGAGCCAATGACCAGTAAACATCGCAAAAGTATTGTTAAATCATTGGATGAAGCTGATAAGCATGCGATTAGGAGGAAAGTGCATGAATTCTTCTTTAGGAATGAAATACCTACTATAGATAAAGTACTGCAGGAGGTAAATGGAGATACAACGTTGCCAAATTTCAAACGATCAACTTTCCATGCGTTACTGAAGCATTTAAATTTCAAATGGAAAAAACGGGGTCGTAATAGTTTACTACTGGATAGAGAAGAAATTGTGCTAT